AACGCAACTCTGATTGGACTTGTTCCAGTCTAAATTCTGTGGTCAACCCACCACAGAAATACATGGATGTTTTGAAAAATATTTTTTCTGTTGCACAGTTAATTTCATATCTAGTTCACAACTGTTGTATCTTGTTAATACATTTTTTTATAGCATTAACCTTTTCAGTTTGTAGTACTTATAACTACTTGATCAGTAAAAGTGAAAGGTTTCACAGCCATAAAACTATGGAAGAAAGAAATAATCTCACTGCTAATGATGTCTATGAGGTGCGGTATTTAAAACAATACAGTACTTGCTCCTGTCCACAAATTCTCCTTGTTTTCACCATGTGTTTTTAATTACATTACATATTAGTGCACATATGTACTGACAAGTGATTGGAATTCCCTCAGAGAGAGAAATCTTTTGCTATCTTTACAAGTGTGAAAGAGTCTTGACATATAGGCCAGGTACCTCACTTAGTATGAGGTTTCCTAAAGAAGACTACATCTTACGTATTTTTGTAGAGCACTTTCAAAAGCTGTTGTTAGGTGGCTTTCCTAGAAATGCACTCATTCTCACCCTTTGCCTGCAACTGAGTTCACAGCTAACACCTCTGAGCAGATTCACACCTGCACATAACCATACTGAAGCTCAAATTAAAAAAGAACATGACTGACTTGTCAGAAAAACAATGCTTTTTTCCACACTCCTTTCAGTGGTCCAAATAGGATGTAATTGAACAATGTGATGTACTAGGCCATTCTGTAGAAGGCTAACAATACAACAGCTCTCTCTTTACTTCAGTTTCCTTTGTAATCACTGTATATATGTCACCAAATGCTGAGCCTGCTTGTTTTTAGAAGCCAGGAGTCATTAAAACAGTTTTACCAGAAGTTTCAGGTAATTCGCATACAGTGTTGTGGTATTTCTGTGATGTTCCCCACTGAAGTCGATCATAAGAACAAGACTGTGCCTCACCTACAGACTTTACTCCAGTAGTAAACATAGGTCACTTCTTTACATGGATTTTGCAAGCATGAAGTTAAACAGATTCTGAAAACAATCTGAAATCTGAGCCCCCTCTGTAGACCTGATGCTGTAACTTTTAATTATCCTGTTAAGCCTGTGTAAGAAGCCTCTAAGATTTACAGTGTATATTATGTGGAATCAAGCAGTTCTTCCAGTTGGAAAGGATTTAGAATTGCTTCTTTCACAGTTAGTTTTGGACAAATGCAGAAACTGTTAATAATCACGTATTATTCTTCTCTCGATGCAAGTGAATATCTCTTTCTCTCCTGCTCTAAACAATCTTTCCTCCTTTACTTCAGATTGAGCAGATTAGCTTGGGAAGCCTAGACATGGACAGTCCTTTGAAGATGAGAGTCAACATTTCCAGGCTTGACAAAAATGAGCATCTCCTAGAACTCATGCCAGCCATTGAGCCCCTTACCAACCACGTGCGCTACATCATCTCACATGGCAATGATGATGGCATCTTTCGAATCCATCAGAGGGATGGACTGAGTTATTTGCACACAGTTAAGAAAAAGTCAGTGCCTGGAACTCACACACTGGAAATCACTAGCATTCCTCTATATAAGAAAAAGGAGCTAAAGAAACTGGAAGACAGCAACGAGGACAACTACCTCCTAGGAGAGCTCGGGGAAGCTCTCAGAATGAGGCTGTGGATAGACCTCTACTAGCCATCTTCCAGACTGAGTCAAGTTCTTCAGTCACTTCTGTTCACCTGTCTACCCACCTGAGCATATCTGCTTTTCAAAGGCTTTGAAACAGTCACTGACTTTTGGGGAAGGAAGGGAGAGGGGAAGACCTCTTTCTTTCCATCCTGTCGAGACTGCAGAACCACTCTTTAGGGTGGTTACCTAAGGGTAACTTAAATTCTGCCATCGCCAAAACTTTGATTACAATGGCGATCATGGTTACTGTATCTTTTATATAACCTCAATTTAAAGTATATTAAAAAGCTAAAGTTCAAAAAGTCATCATATGGCACTAAATGGCAAAAAAATGTGAGCTATTTTTTTCCTGTTAGCAGTCTGTAACACTTTGGGTATTTTGCTATAGTTCCTAGTTAAAAAAAAAAATATAGAAGTTTATTTATTTTTAATGCAGTAATATATGGAGAAAATAACAAATTATGTAAACAAAAAGGGAAACTTGCTTGTTTTTCTTTAGATTTATAAATTTGAGCTATAATATTTTAGAGGTACTTTCTTAATTAAAAAAAAAAAAAAGATTTGAAAGACGTTTCCTTTTGTATTTGGGCCAGTCATCTAAATAGTACATAAGTAATTTTAAAATGTATCAGAGCTGAAAGAGCACTGTACTACATCTTCTGGATATTCTAAAGTGCTCTTGCAAAACTTAGGAGTATTCAAAAAAAAAGAAAAAAAAAGTCTTAAAGGACAAGAATTACAATATCAGTCTCTGCAGAGATTGTATTTCACAGCAGCTCAATAGGATTGTATTCTGAATCAGCCACACCAAATAATGGAAGAAGAGGCACAACCACTGTAGCAAAATACCTTGACTGCTTTTAATACCATTAGAATTGCAGAACCAAACTGTACTGTACTTCCTTCCAATAACCTCAAGGAACCACACATGCAACGACACCTCATTCTCACAAAGGGTGCTCTACAAACTTGCATTACTGTAGGCAGCTGAAGAAAATGTTTCTCTGAAGGGAACACATGATGTGTCATACTGTTTGGTGCTGGCTTGAATTAATGGTGCATTTACTAAAAACCAAGGGCTATATCAGGACTGCCATATGTGCAAACTAATTACGCAGTGCAGACAAGAAAAATGTGTATTTGAAACCCATTTGTTAGAAGTTTCGCTAATACTGTAGTTATACACCATACGCCTCATTTTATCATAGCCTATTTTGTAAGAAAGATGTTTGTACAATGAATTGATATTTAGTTTCCTTTAGTAATTTTTTTTTAAAACGTCGTACCATTATGTGTTAAGTGTATGTCTCAATGGTGCTTTTTGTGACAGCTGGTGCCTGTAACTAGTCATGTAACAGAATTTCATATGTGAAAACAGCTAAAGCACATGCTGACTCCAGATTGTTTGTGCTGACCAAAGATTATATCAAGTTATACTCAGTGATTTTTTGTTTCTTTTCTTTTCTTTTGTTAAGTTTGGGGATTTTGAAAAGAAAAAGAAACTTTGTACATTTTTAATCAAATGTTTGTAAGAAGAAAAAGTTTTGGTTAATGGTCTGTATCAGTAAGACAACACTTTTCTTGCAATAAAGCTTATTTTGGGGTAATTTTTTTTTTTTTTAAATGTCAGTGTTTTTTACACAAAATAAATGTCCAATTGTAAATCTGAAGGATTTCCAAGCAGAACAGGAAGATGGTATGGTGCAAACTCTTCTTCACTCACATGTAAGGTTATACAGCATTTGCTGACTTCGTTTCTATCATGACAGAGCTGAAACACAGGAATTAAACTGTTCTTACAAAGTTAAAACTCTGCCTCAACTCTCTCAAAATCTGTCATGTATTAGGTTCAAGTGAACTGGCCTGGCAGAAGGTTTATGCATGTAATGAGGGCTGAAGGACCATCATGATTTAACTAAATTTTATGAAGTATGCAAGGTTTCCACTAAGACCTCATAACATAAGCTACACTGTCTTTTTATTTGATTCAGAGTTAAACTGGTGACTGTTTTCAAGGAATAGCCTATACTGACTGTATGTTTTTGTCATCACAGCAATAACAGCCAGAGAAAGGGAAATCAGAGACACTGGGTTAATCACTGAATTAAGATTCAAACTGCTTGTTAGACTTAGACAGCCTGCACCAGCAGAATTAGCCCTACATATTCTATTGACATTCTGGAGGAGTGGCACTCCACAAGTTAATTACATTAAAAGCCAAGTTGTAGGTCTAAGGTTCTAATTACTGGATGCAATAAGAATGAGTTTCCCTAGTGTTTGAGAACTTTTTCAGCACAAAATTGCTTTTCCCCGTGCTTTCAAAGATCCAGGCTAACACTTCTGCCACCCTGCTACCCTCTCCTCTTTCAAAAAATATTCATAAAGTAATAGAAGAAATACATGTTTTGAAAGGAATCATACACTTAAATTTCACTCAAGAAATAAAATAATCAGGAATTATGGCATGGTAATTGTTTTCATAATTACTGATTGGTATAGGTAGTTGGTATTACTTATTTGGGTATTCCTTGAAACCTACATATGCATTCAGATTTATCTGACATTTAGTGCATGAGTTTAAACAAGACAATATGAAATTGCCTGGAACCAGATTTATTTGATATTACCTTCAGATACAGTCATGCAAGTTTCATTATGATTCAAAGCTACTTCTGGGTAAAATGACTGACATCTACAGAAATAAAAAAGACCTCTAGAGGTTTGATAAATATAGCCAGTATGGCACTGATTTCAGACTTTACAACTGTAACAACTGGTTTCCAAGAAGGCTATTCTGTGTCCAAAATGGGAGCTTTCCAGGAAACACTTATTGCAAGAAAAGCCAACAGACTGAACCCAGTAGAGCATTATCCTTTGTTGCCAACTCTGAAAAAAGGAGTTATAATAGTAGCAACACTCTTACTAATGAGTCCTCTGAGGCTACAAGTTCTGGAGGATTTTATTGGTAGACAAAGATTACTTGCACGTGCTATACACATTTAGTAGATTTAAAGCCCTTTTTTTCTAAAAAAAAGAAACTATCATCAGATAACACCTATGTTAACTAATCACACAATAAGTACAATGTACAAAAAACCAATACTTATCGCTTTACTAGAAAGGCAGCATTAGCCTCTACCATCTTAAAACTGACAAGACAGTTACAATATCCAGAAAGAAGTCACCACCAGCATCAATTCCAGATGAAAAAACATCTGGGATTAAAAAGAAAAAAAAAGCCCAAACAAATCCAAAATAGAGCCACTTCCTTTCCGCCCAACATATCATAGTATATGTTTATATACTCATTTCTCCAAACTCTACCCTTCAATAGCCTCTAGCATTTTAATTTTAAAAAATTTGATGAGAAAGCTGACTACACATGCACAGAAAGCTATGAAACCCCAAAATCTGTTGCGAACAGTACAATGAAAATTGTCTTGCTATTTAAGAGAGGCTGCAGTAGAAATCTTTTGGCCTTGCAAGGTCCTGCACCTGGGACGAGGCAATCCCAAGCACAAACACAGGCTGGGTGATGAGTGGACTGAGAGCAGCCCTGAGGAGAATGGCTTGAGGGTGCTGGTGGATGAAAAAAATGAATACGAGTCAACAATGGGGTGTGCCATCACTTTGATACCTTGAAAAGTACTTGTTACCCAAACATGGATTTTGGCATCTAAAATTCTGATCTCCAAGGCCAAAGCAGGAGCTCAGCAGCACTTCCATGCATCAAAGTGTGTCTACACTGTACTACAGTATATCCTAAACAGAAGTACCCAGAGCTAGCTAAAATCTAGCTAACCTTAGAAACCACTGCTACTTATGACACCATGAAGAAATTATGAAAAAGTGACAGAGTGGACATTATTTATAACAAATGAGAAACACAGGACTCTTCCTCAAAGGTATGAACTCCACTCAGCCATATGAATAGCAACTGAATATGCTGAGGCACTAAAACTCGGAAGCATACATAGATCTGTAGTAACTTAAGGAAACAATACCCATGTATTTAAAAGTATAACCATTCTCACTTTTTCACCGGCAGGAAT